AGGGAGGTCTGCAGAGAGTCCACCACCCGTAGGTGGTTGCGCTTGGCCTGCTCCATCTCCTCGTCCTTCTCTGCCAGCTTCCGCTCGATCTCTGCCTTGATCTGGTTGAACTCCAGCTGGGCCCGGAGGATCTTGCCCTCCTCGTGTTCCAGGGAGGCCTAGGAAGGGGTGGGGGAGGGGATGTGGGCAGACAGTCAAGGCACAGGTCACGGTGGGGGTCTGTTCACAAATCGTGGATACAAAGTGAGTTCAAGAGCGGTATAAGTGGTTCAGTCAAGAAGCAGAAGGAGGAGGAAAAGAAAATCTAAGACAGAATAAAAATAAGCCTAAGAAAATGTGATTCAGGCCCTCACAGGGGAGAGCTAGCTATGAAGACGAGGAGGAAAATGAAGAGAAAGGTGTTGCCAAGGAAACAGAAGCAATCAGGTAGAGAGTATAAAAGAAAACAGAGGCAGGCAGAGGTGGGAACAGGGAGGCGTGTGGAAATGGGAAACTCAGCTAAGATGTAATGGGTAAAATGTTTATATAAAGGGAGTTCAGTGACTGGACATTCATTTACTCCATAAATCTTCATTGAATGCCTACTATGTGCCAGGCACTGTCCCAGGCTCTGGGTATGGGACAGTGAATAAAAGAGAGGGATGAGAACAGGAACCCAAAGCCTGGAGCTCAGTTCCCTGCACCCCATGCCCTGCACACACACACCTCGGCCTCCTCCAGGGCTGATTGCAGCTCTAGCTTCTCGGCCTCCAGCTGCTTTCGGACCTTCTCCAGCTCATGGATAGTCTTTCCACTGGACCCCAATTGCTCGGTCAAGTCGGAGATCTCCTCTGTGTGGGGAACATGGTGACTCGGTTGAGGGCTGCCGTGGTCCAGTGGAGTTGGAGGGACATGCCCCTTTGCCCAGACCCCTCTGGGAGTCCCTGGGTGGCACCACATGGGGACATTGCCAGTACAGCCCCTCCCCAGTCTCTCGGGCCCCCAGCATACCCTGAAGGTTCTTGTTCTCCCGCTTGAAGGTCTCCAGGTGCTCCAGGGACTCCTCGTAGGCGTTCTTGAGCTTGAAGAGCTCGGTGCTGAGGGAGCGTGCCTCCTTCTGCGAGGACTCCAGCTCCGACTGTGACTCCTCATACTTCTGCTTCCACTCAGCCAGGATCTGTCCAGGGACGAGGCTCACTCTTCAGCCCCCCAGCCTCAGCCACATATCCAGGGTCTGTCTCAGGACCTGCATGGGCTCAGCCCTCCTCCCCTACCTCCAAGGGGGATGGCCTCGCCCTGAAGCCCTCACACCCCCTTGCCCTGCGTGCTGGCTGTGGCCCCCACCCACGGCCCACCTTGTCGAAGTTCCTCTGCTTCTTGTCCAGGGCTGCAGCGGCCGCATTGGAGCGCTCCACGTCCACCATCAGGTCCTCAATCTCGTTCTGTAGCCGGTGCTTGGTCTTCTCCAGCGAGGAGCACTTGGCGTTAACGGCCTCCACGGCCTCCTCAGCGTCCTGCAGCCGCTGGGCCAGCTTCTTCCTGCCCAGGGAAGGGTGGCAGAGGGTGGGGAGGATGGAGGGTGTGGATGGGGACAAGAGGAAACAACATGAGCCTTCCAGAAGACAATCCTTGAAACCTCAGAAGAATAGCTGGAGAAGCCTGAGGACAGGTGTCAGGGGCTGAGAATGGCAGGCAGAGGATCCCAGCAGGGCGCAGAGACCCAGGCCCCACTGACCCTGGGCCAGCCTCTGGCTGTGGACATGGGGGAGGTGTGGGCTTCCGCAGCCCTCCCCACCGCCTTCCCCTGCCACAGTGCCCTGCCCCAGACGGAAGCACTCTGCCCTCAGACAAACCTTTTGTTCGTCTTATATTCGGATCAGAAACATAATTCGAGCAAAAAGCTTCCCTGAGAGGAGAAGGTACTGGGGCCAGGGCAGAGTCCTGTGTGTCAAACATGAGCTAAGCGTCCCCTGTGTGGGATCTGCTGAGGCTGGGGGTGGGCTGAGTCCTGCCTGCAAAGGGGCTTCAGCCAGAAGGCGGGCTGCTCAGAACTCACTTGGCCTCCTCGAGCTCCTCAGTCCGCTGGATGGCATCCGTCTCATACTTGGTCCTCCACTGGGCCACCTCTGAGTTGGCCTTGGACAGGACGCGCTGCAGCTCGGCCTTGGCCTCCGTCTCCTCCTCGTACTGCTCCCGCAGCAGGTCACAGTCATGCCGGGCTGACTGCAGTGCGTGGGCCAGGGCGTTCTTTGCCTGGGGAGGGGTAGGCACCAGGAGGTGGGCTCAGCTTTCTCCATTAGGCAGCCCTATCCCTTACCATTCTCCTCAACCTAATCTCAACATCCTCCCTTGGCTTTATCCATGTCCAAATCCCCAGTGGACCTGGAATGGTTTATTGTTAGCTAATAACACAGAATGCCAATGCAGCACTGAACTATTTAAGAAAAGCTTCGTGGCCATTGGCCCTGAGCTCCTTCCCACACCAGGTATGGTCATTATCACTGGGGTTGGGAGAGGGAAACAGGCTCAAAAGGTTAGGGGACTTCCCCAAGATCACTGAGCTGTAAGAGCCAGGTTAGTGTTGAACCCTGGTGTTTTTTAAAACTCATATTCTTTCTCCTTTTTCATGAGCCCAGCAAAGTGCTAAGAATAGGCTCCAATTTAAATTCTTTCTCCAGTTTTCAGGTTGACCCATTTGTGTGGTCCCTACATCCCCTAGCTATGCCTAGGCAAGACCATCTCATGTCTCCCTAGTTCATTTCCTCTCCTCCTCCTCACACCCTGCCTCTTGCCCAGGGATGCAGCAGAAGGCAGAGGGCCTCAGCCTGGGGAGTAGAAGGCATGTGGCAGGGTTTGTGCTATGACTTCTTTTTAGAATTCTTGGAGAACTGTGGGTACACATAAGCCTTATTCCTGAGAAGGGGAGTGATGTCAATGCAAGGCTAGTTAGTGTGCTCCTTGCTTGGGCCAGGTGGCCCGAGGCTAGCCCTTACCTTAACCTCCTCTTCCAGCTGCCTCTTGAGGTCCTCCAGCTGCTGGGTGTAGGTGAGCTTGCCTCGAGTCAGCTGGGAGATCAGTGCCTCCTTCTCATCCAGCTGCCGGGACAGCTCACCTGGGGAAGCACCGTTTGAGATCAGCCACTCCTCTCTATCCCTACCTCCTCCCCTAGTACTCAGGCCCCATTCTCTGGAGAGACTCTGTGTCTGTGTGTGTGAGCAACCAAGGCTGGAGTGGCTCAGGAGGTTGGGGAGACAGGTGGGGTCCATGGAGCCCCTGCTGTAGGCTCACCATTCTCGGTTTGTAGCTTGGCCCGCTGGCTGGTGAGGTCGTTGACAGAACGCTGGGTTTCCTCCGCCTTGCTCCGGTGCTCATTCATCTGGTCTTCCAAGGTCCGGCACATCTTCTCCAGGTTAGCCTGAGAAGGGAAGGAGAGTTATATGATGGTTGGTGGGGGGAACTGAAGGAGGTGTAAGGGGTACAACTAAAGGAGAAAAGAGGGAAGGTGTGGAGGCAAGGAGGGCATCTGAGAACCAGGCAGAGGAAGGGAAGTGGGAAAATGAACCATGAAGGAAGAGAGAAGACATGGGGAGAAAGTGGAGATGGGAGGAGGAAGTTGGAGGAGGAGAGGCTGAGCAGAGCCTGCCTTGGCCTTGATGATCTGTTCCATGTTGGAGGTGACATCGTCCAGCTCCAGCTTGAACTCGCTTTTCTCCTTCTCCAGCTTCTGCTTCACCCGCTGCAGGTTGTCGATCTGCTCGCCCAGCTCGGCCACGCTGTCGGCGTGTTTCTTGCGCAGAGCCGCAGCAGTGGCCTCGTGCTGCAGCGTGGCCTCCTCCAGGTCCCGCCGCATCTTCTGGAATTCAGCCTCACGCTTCTTGTTCATCTCGATCTGCACGGATGTGGCCCCACCAGCCTCTTCCAGCCGCTCGCTGATCTCCTCCAGCTCCCGGGACAGGTCTGAGCGCAGCTTCTCCACCTTGGCCCTGGCGGTGCGCTCGGCCTCCAGCTCCTCCTCCAGCTCCTCGATGCGCGCCTGGGCCAGACACAAAGGGCTCAGACCCACCGCCTGGACCCCGCTGCTGGATCTCCCCCTCCCCCCGGGCTCTAAAAGGCTCTCGGCTTCTCTGGAACAGCAAGACAGTTTAGCTCTTCCAGTGGAGAGGTGAAAATTGAAGGATTTGGGGAAGATGCTTTGAAGAGCTGAGCTGGCCTTCCTTTTGGCTAGGGCATGACAGTCTGCACGCTCTTTATTGGAAGGAAAGTGGTTGAAACCTGCTCTTAAAGATGGACAACGAGACCTGTGTTCTGGGGATATTTTAAGCAGTTTAGTCACAAAAGAAAATAAGAAAAGTTGAAAATGAGAGAGCCATATTTGTCTGACCTGACAACTAAAGACCTAACACAGCTTCTGCTCCAGAGGTAAGAACTGAAGACATGCCATCAGAGTTGAAGGGCCCTTAAAACCCTCCAGGTAACAGGGAAGGCATGGAGACCCAGAGATCTGGAGTGGGCTCCCCGTGGTCACCCAACTAAAGCAGAGCTGAGACAGGAAGCTGGGATTTCTGCCCTCCAGGACTGTGACCTTTTCAGGGTCTCTGTGTATCACCTGGGCCCTTTTGGGTGTACCCATGGGGACACTGTGATAGCTGCATGTCTGCCTCCATGGGCAATAATTAGCCCCTGTAATGCTGTGAACAGAACACCCTAGAGGAGGGGGCAGGGGAAACAGAACCAGCCCAGGGACCCAGCACTCCATGTGGGTTTCCAGACCTTACCTGGAGCTCCTTGAGCTTCTTTTGCAGCTGGCTGCCCAGGGCCTGTTCATCCTCAATCCTTGCATTGAGAGCATTCAGCTCAAAGTCTTTTCTGTGGGGAAGGAGGGATGGTGAGGCAAGGGAGGCTCGTGGGTCCTCAGGAAGGTCCACTAATGGTTGGAAATGGTAATGAAACAGGTAAAGAGTAGGATTTCATCAGAAAAACAGCTTCTGGGGGTGATGTAGGATCTCTGGAGGTGTAACACCTGCCATAGGATTGAAATCCAACAAGAATGTAATGGGAAGAGTGCTGTAGACAGGCTGATGGTTCCGGGCTCTGCAGGATATTCCCATCTTTGGTCCCTGTTTTCTCATCTGTAAAATGAGGGGACTGGACTAGATTGCTTCAAAGATCACTTTTAGCTCTGATAGTCCCTAATTTTGTCACTGTTGCTTTGGGTAACTCAGCTAACCTTTCTGAAACTTATTTTCCTCTTTGGTAAAGTAAAATTAAAGATACCATCCTTAAAAGGTGTTTTGAGAATCAAATGGGATCGTGTATTCATTCATTTATTCAACACATTCTGTACCCAGGAAGGTATGAAGATTCCTGTGCAAACACAAACTTGATGAGGATGTAGATTATGATGATTCTCAGAGCCTTTCAAAGTCCTGAGCCTGAAACACCATAAGATCTTCAATTACCAAAATATGTTCTGCAAGCTCACTGTTTACCAAGTCTGGAAAGTCTATACATTTTGGAAGAACTTGCACTAAGAATTAGAACCACAAGTTAAGCAAAACAAAGAAATGGCCCTGATCCCCTGACTTCTTGAGCATGAGGGCATTTCTTGCTGCCCTGTGGGCTCTCTGTGAAAAGCCACAAAGGGACTTTCCTAAGAGGCTCTTGTGTGGCACCTTCCTCCATGTCAAGGAACTGGTTTTCAAAGAGAGTGTGTGTAAAGGGGGAAGGCTGTTATTTTCCTTCCCACTGAGTGCCTAACACAAAGAAAAGACTCAAGGCATAAAATGGACCTTTTGCCAGGGAGGACTGTCTAACTAACCCTGATATCTAGGTCTGGGGGAGGAAAGCCCTTGTGTGGAAGGCCTTTTCCCATGGTTTGCGCCTCTGCTTGCGGAGGCTGCATGAGGTTGTTGCCTCAGAGGATGGCTCTCTTGGGTCTGCTTGTACTGTTATGGGCTGGGAGGAGGAAGGGTAGCAGGGAAGGGACACAGTACTTTTTCAGCCGCTCATCCAGCTGCTGCTTGTCATTCTCCAGGTCCATGATGCTCTCCTGTGTCAGCTTCAGGTCGCCCTCGAGCTTCCGCTTCGCTCGCTCCAGGTCCATGCGCACCTTCTTCTCTTGCTCCAGGGATCCCTCCAGCTGGTGGATAGAAGGAGCCAGGCCCAGTGAGGCAAAGCATCCTGACTTGGTGATTCTGTTGTTCAGTTACCCCAGGACTTGGTAAGTCCTAGTGGTGAGGACTTGGGAAATCTTCCCCAGAGTGGGCCAAATGTTGCCAGGGGACTATGAGATTGCCTAGATATAGGGGATGCTCAGTCAATATTTGACAGACAAAGGAATGAATGATTGTGGGATAAAACCCCAAAGCCGTATTCATTCTTTCAGTATCCTATAAACACCTACTGGGCATCAGGCTCTGTGCTAAGCACTGCAGTTCCCAAATTGAATAGATCCAAGTTTCTGTCTAAAGGAAGCTTATAGTCTTGTGGCTGAGATAGATGCTTAAATAATTATAATAGAGAGTGATAAGTGAGTCAACAGACATATGTGCATCAGAGGGAACAATGATCAAATTTTGCCTTAAATATTGGAAGTTCAAAGATCCTTCTTGGGGTGCATCACAAAATTTCCAAATAAATATGTCATGTTCTTTTGAGATAATTCTCTAAATCCTATGTCAAAGGCAGAGGTATCTGGGATTGAATTTAAAAAGAAAACTTATCTGTACTATTGATCATACCAGTAAAATTAGATACATAATTCAGAATTGATCACCACCTCTGACTTTTCATTCCCCAACTCCCTTCTAGGAAGATACCAGGAAAGTTAACATCCTCTAACCCCACCCCCCTCCACACACACACACACACACACACACACACACACACACACACAC